TATATATATAAAATCAGAACTTATTAACACACTATAACTAACAATTGAACAAATGAGTCTTGAGCAATTATAGTTCAACGTACAATTTTTAAAAATCCAAACTACAAGGGAGAAGCCGTAAAGCTATGGCCATCTGTCTTCAGGCACAGTGTGCACACTCACCTACACATTAAGGAACGTGACCCCGGGGTCAGTGAACGCCACCTCGGGGTCAATGAACGCCACCTCCTGGGCGCCCCGCTGTGTGCTCTACAGAGATGGCTACGGTGACGTCATAGGATGTCGGGACGGCAGCCATCTTGAGGACTGCGGTGAGTTACTGTTGACTTGTATATATTATATTATTATATAACAGTCCACAGGTTGTACACGTGATCTTACCAAGTGTGTTTAGTCAATACAAGTTGTGCACATGACGTCACTGTGGGATGTGTACTCAAAGTAGTTAAACATGATGTCACGCTGTGTGGTATAAGTGGTGTGCGTGACGTCACTGTGTTTGTAGTTTAATTGTACACATCCCGTCACTGTGTTTGTAGCATATGATGTACATGTGACGTAATTGTATTAATAGTACAAGCTAAACACGTGAATAATAATAATAATAATAATAATAATAATAATAATAATAATAACCTGATATAAATCTATTTTATCTTTAAACATAAATGACTTTACCTGACATTTTATAAATTCTACAAATAACATATCTCATTAATCTAAAAACAGAAATGTCTTTGGCGGACATTTGATCAAAACACCTAACAACTTTTGCTGACACTTAATCAATTCTACATTTCTAAAATTACATCTTACTAATTCAAAAACAGAACAGACTTAAGCTGACATTTGATGAATTCAACAAAAAATATATCTCACTAATCTTAAAACAGAATCAACTTTAACTGACATATGATCCATTCTACGGTTACATTTTTTTTAAACAGAAGAGTTCATGTGTCCTGAGGGCTACGTGAAGTGTCCCCGCTCCTACTGCGTCCCCTTACATTACCTACTGGACGGCCGGGTGGACTGTGCGCTGGGGGAGGACGAGGGTGTGCAAGACTTGAGAGGTGATATCTACCCCTTGTACACTGGAGAAAGTTTCTTTCTTTTAAACTCATTAAATGCTGAGTTGGTACTTAGTGTCTTACTGCGCTCGCAACTGCACTGCACAAGGTCATATGAGCGCGCGTGGCACATAATTATATATTTTGATAGGAATTCATTTTGAATTTTTGCCCTGGAGGCGGTCAAAGCCTACTCTTATTGATTCTGGACCACCAAGGGATCTTTAACGTGCGCAACTAGCACATGGGACCTGGGAGATTTTTAACCTGTGTCCGAGAGGGCTAGTTGTTAGTTCTTTTCTACCCTAAGATCAGGGGTGTGGCTGAAAGACAGTAGTAAGTTGGAGCCAAAAAGTAGTAGTAGAAAGCCTGCAGAAAGAGCCAGGAGCCCAGAGGAGAGAGGGCGGGGCGGAAAGTGGAACCGAAAGCAGACGACAGGATACGATTAGTGAGCAATCGAGCTGCAGGCCCGACGTTGCGACCCTTGGAAAGGCACTTTACTCGAGTTTTCCTCACTTCACCCACGTGGAATGGGTACCCAGCTGTAGAAAGGAAAGATCTTGTCAGTGTGTTTTAGCACTTATAAAAGGCAACTTGCACTGTATGTTTCCCAGGAAGTTGAGATTGTTGTAATAATAATAATAATAATAA